TTTTCTTTCTTTTTTTAATGAAAATTACATGCAAGACATGTGTTAAATAACCAGATGAAAGGCTCTCCTGAGTTTATTCTTTCATCCATGCGGTATAGGCACAAGATTACTTGCACGCTACAAAACCCAGTACCAAAAAATGTAACACTAAACCCCAGGGGCACAGTCTTACTGAATTAAACATTTTGGATTGGATGATGTTGACTTTACAGCCGGGACATGCTGGGTGGCAGAAGCAGGTGCTTCTGAAGACTGAGACTCACAAAAGATCCACACTGCCTCTGTGTGATGTGCTCTAAGGGGACGGCTTGTTCTTTAAGGGCACATTGTGTCCACGTCCAGCCTGACACTAGCTTTGGCCTCAACAGATTTAACAGGCAGCCCGAGGGGGTAAAGGGTCAGTGGCACATATGTCCGTTTTGCTCTGAAGAAATAACACCAAGCTTATGGTCAACATCCAACAAGCTCTATTTTTGTTAGAGGGGTAGCGGAAAAATGTGTTTGTTGTTTTCTTCTGAAACTGTTTTTTTTTTAAATCAAATTATAAAGAGTTTGGAAAGTTAGAGTACCAGGAAGGAGAGAATAAAATGATTCATGTGAGTATGTTAAGTGAAAGCCTTTCCTGACTGACATTTCCTCATAATTGTGACCCCGCAGTCATCAACCAATTAAATGTTCTATCTCATCTGATTTCTAAGCAAAGTCTAAGTGAAGATATTAATATTTTTTTCAATAAACAGCATTTCTTATTAGTGTCTCTCTTGAAGCAATCTGGTGTAGCACAATAAATAAATGAACTGTGCATGCTCGTCTGATTACTTATGCACAGCTTCACCTCCACATTTTGGAGGCAACTCCTTTTATCACCAGCTGACAGGATGCAAATAATAAATTTTTTTACCAACTTTAATTACACCTAATATGTGGGTCTCTGCCAAGCAACTGCAATGTTACCTTATTGGTATTCCGACAGCCAGCACGCTGGCACACAGACGCTGTCCTCTCAGCAAATTGTCTGCTCAGTAGCTTCGGGACATCGGCAGCCACTCGTACCGCGGCTCACACATTTTTCCAGCCTGATTCCCCTGGTGGTTCACTGGTTCAAACTGCTTTTGTCATCAGTTGTAGAAACCCAGCTGGCTTTTGCTTTGACACTGTCAATCTGCCTTTTTTCTCTCTCCCTCTGTGCCCCGAAGAACAATAAAAGAAGAGGAGCACAATGCAGATGCTCGTGCAGACAGTGTGACACTACCAGTGTCTTTCAAGGTGACATGTTGACGACTCGCCTGTCAGCTGCTGTCATTAAAATGTCAGCGTTGTGTCACTAAAGGTGACGCTGAGAATGAAAACTCTTCAAGCCAGTTAGTGCCACTTACCTCTCTTATTTTATCTTCAAACAGAAAACAAAATGCATCTTGAGACTTTCATTTATTCATTCTTGAATAACAGGAGAAACCCTTGTAATTGATTTAGGCTCAGTGGAGAAGCGTTTATGCAGAACATTTCCTACAGAGCCTGAAGACAACAAGAACATCTTCCTGGCTGTGAAATTAATCAGTCTTGTTTGATGAAAGCATGCATGGGCACTGGATTATTCACTAAGAAGGAATTTGGGCTTAGGCAAAAGCAGCATGCTAGCATTTAAGGACTTCTGAGCTAGTGTGGCTAAAGGCAAGCCTCCAGACAACACCTGAGTGAGGCAGCAGTGCTGCAGGCATCAGAGCAGCCTCGCTGTTGAGGGTGAGGGTGCATATTGGGTCTCACAAGTTTGAATTTTTGAAAAACAATTGAGTGATTTTATTTATTCCAAACACCTCCTCATCAACTTTTTTTTCAAACAAACAAAACATTCAAGGTATTTATTATAAAGGATTTTTGCAGGTAGTGTGATGGCACACTAGGAAGGACTCCAGCCTCCTTTCAACCCTGTAATGGATGAAATGGCCATAGAAAATGGATGGATGGAAAGGATGAAAGTTTGCCAGCATCCAATTTGCTGATGTTTTAAAACTACTTTTAGACAATAGGCAATTCTGTTGCCAATGATTACACATCTTTCCCTTCAAGTTTCAGTAGTTGCCCCTGAAGCAGAATGCCTCCATCATTAGCCAGACTTATGGCACGGCGAGACAAGCTGAACAAACTTCCTATGCACAACATGAAGAATCCACAATCTGAAAGCATAACGGACAGTCTTTGGAAGAAGAAAGACATATTTGTTGTGAAATTGGGTTATCTTGCAGAAATTGCTCATTATGCAATCGTAGTATTAAACTGAAAAAGAAAGTAAACAGCATTCCCATTATTTAGCATAATCATTCCAATCACTCAAATAGACAAGACGAAGCATAACTTTGATCTTCACTCACATCCATTATCATTACCGCTTATTTCCTAATGGGGTTGCGGAGGAAACTGGAGCCTATCCCAGTATTCAATGGAAGAGAGGCAGGGTACACCCTGGACAGTCCGCCGCTCCATCGCAGGACCACACAGAGACACAACGCAATTTGGAATGTCCAATCAACCTAACATGCAGATTTTTTGGACTGTGGGAGGAAGCCGGAGAACCCGGAGAGAACCCACGCAGACACAGGTAGAACATGCAAACTCCACACAGAAAGGTCCTGGGTCCCCCTGGGACTAGAACCCAGAACCCTCTTGCTATGAGACAATGGTGCTAACAATTCTTACTTCTTCTTTTTTTTTTTTAACCATGTTTGCACTTTTAAACAAACAAAAAACGAATTGTAATTTCCTTTCTATATTTGTCACAAATAAATTATTGTTATTTTTCATAAGGCTTATGTGTATCTATTACATATTATCTGACTCAGTCAGCAAAGGTATCATGTTTCTACTAAGTCAGTGCCAAAGTAACGCTATAAAAGGAGCTGTAAATTGCATTTAAATACTTTACAACCTTTGAGAATATAAAGTGTTGACAAAAAAAAAACACTCATTGGATTAACGGTTCACAGTTTATTTACTTAAATTGAACAATTCTATTATAGATTTTAAATAATGGTGTCCAATGTAAATCTATTTAAGTCCTTGTTGTTTACTTTTCTTTTATAATAAGGAGAGAATTTAAATCAGAAGTTCTTAGTTCTAAAATTAGTTTTCAGTTAGTACATCCAGTGTTTTTACATTCATTTCTGCACTGCCTCCTCATCAGCTGCACCATTGTGTTTAATTCTAACTCGTTTTCCTTTATTACCTCTGTTTATCGCCAGAGTAGTCGTCTCAGGAGCAGTACTTGCCACATCCCACCACTCAGAGGGCAGTAAAAGTAAAGTGAGACTTAACAGCATCATAAAAGCAGCGTGGAATTGTGCAGCTACTTCCACTGCTGGACACACGGCTGGATCACATCTGCCACTAAAGCTCACTCCATAAAACACAACAGTCCTTCAGCTGGATACAAAGAGCCAGGAGCACACAACGCCCTCCTCCTCCCCCTCTTCCCCCTCTTCCTCCTCTTCCTCCCCCCCCCTTGCCACGGACAACAGGACGGTTGCTACATCTGCAGCATTGTGACCGTCTCCAAACACAAGTGCGGCAACAACTCACTCTCGTGTTTCGAAGTTCCCCATGTGTGCCGCGGGACGCCGGGGCTCTTGATGATGGCTCTGCCGGCGGATTTCAGGGCATCCATCACGAGGTGTGTCCGCTCTCCGCCAGGTGGATTCCCCTCGGTGTCCGCGCCACAGGGAGCTCTGGGCGCAGCGCTGCGTCTCACCGCTGCGAGGGAGGCGGAGAGAGAGAGAGAAAAAACTAAGACAAGTTCCGGACGCAGGTGCCTCTGGATCCCCCGTCCCCGGCGGAATGAGCAGCTCAGGGCATCGCGCACACCCACTGCACCGTCTCCAAAGTTGAGGGCGTGTCCTCCGAACCTTCAGGGGCTGGAGGAGCCTTCAGATGCGCTCCCCGCCGTGGAAACGCGCTCCACGGTCGCTGTTGCGCAAAGCTCATGTGTTCATGGCAAGAACGATGAAAGAGCTTGCATTAGGTCTTTGAAGCACTTCTCTGTGTATTTATCTTTGCTATGCCCAATGGTATTGTCATTTTTCTGATTTCAGTTTTTTTGGGTGGGGCCACACACGTCAATATTTCATTTTCTCAGGTAAACAGATGAACTGTCAATTTGAAATCTCTTCTGAAATAGATTTACACTGGTACTTCAGTCAGTGTGTGTTCTAATTTCTATGTTATGGTGCCCCCTATTGATTCTTAGTTTTTATTACAATGTTGAAGATCCACATTTAAAAAAAGAAAAAAGAACTTTGGATGGTGACTGAACATATAAGCCCCGATTTAGAAGTCGTTGGGAGTAGCTTAAAAAATCATATAAAATTCAAAGAGATATTTGATATTGAAGTCTGGTAAGGGGCCAACACAAGTCAGAAAAAAACTGTGGAATGCTACAAATGGCTTCAATGGGTGACATGCTAGCTGTTACCATATTAAGTCTGGCAACAGGTCAGAGTAAGGGCTATAAAAGTGTGGCTATAAAAAGACTATTTTAGAAGTAGTGACAGAGTGGCTCTCACCTCTGTGAAATCCTGCACGGACTGAGGGTTGAGCAATTCAACATTTTCAAATGCACAATTGCAAAGAAACTAAAGATTTTATCATTTGATAGATACATTTTATGTAATTTTACGTAATATGGTGTTTTGCTTAACTACAGTTGTTTACTTTTAAACTATCCAGTTTCATGGTATTAGCTACTTCTTTATATATATAAACATAAGCAGTTAAATCACATTCTGAAGAATTGCTCTATTGTTCTAGATGGGCTTGCACAGTTAAATACATATCTTGAAAATGACAATGGATGCTTTTTTTTTAAGAGAATGAGAAATCCATGCAATTATATTTGGTATACATGCAGAGAGTTCCATAGGTCAGTTTAGAAGGTAAGGAGCCAAAGAGCTTAGCCTGAGCCAGTTGCTCTCTTATTCAACGAAGTAAGTAAACTAAGTTTGATTGAAACTAAAATAAAATAAAAAAATAAAAACATGCTGTTTCCATTTGTCCTTCATGGTGAAATCTTTATTCAGGTTCTCTCCACAACCCAGCGCAGGTTATCATATCAAGTCCAAGATCACCGTACACTTATTTCACACTCAGGAAGCGAAGCAGTGCTTGTACTGTACAGTCAAGTATTTCTCACAAATCAACTAAAAGGGATTATTACAGTTTAGCCCATGTTGGCATGCTGCTGTTGTAATTTTGGTACTCTGTGAATATTTTAGAGGATTTTATTTCTATTTCAAAGCTGTCAGCAGCGCACACTACAGCTGCTACACTGAATGCTGTGCATGTGGAAAGGTAAACGTGAATCTGCGAGTATTTATACGTTATTGTGGATACACAGCAAATTGTAGTCATGCAGCTCATAAGAGGTTACACTGTGGTGTCGCTGCCATGTTCTGGTTAAAAAGGTATAACCCCTTGACTGCTGAAAGCTGCACTACAATGATGCCAAAACGTCCCTGCCCAAAACTTCTCTCATGGAAGACTGTGGATCAGTGGTCACGTTTAATTTCCTGGTGTTCATGAGCCCTCTTGTCTACTTGAGTGGTGCCACATCGTCACAGAGCAAGTTAATTCCAATAAACCACAGCAGCTACAGGCATACTGCAAACAGTTTCATATTCTCTTCTTACTGAAGATTTTCGAGAAAGGAGAAAAATGGGGGAACAGTGTAGCATGCATCATCTGTTTAAACCCATCAAATCATGTGTGGGAAATGAGTCTTAAAACTGTGGACATAAAATCTCATGTTGAAAAGAAATCCTCCTGTCCTGCAGTATGGCTTATGAATCGCTTTAAATAAACCCAACAAGAAGAAGGTTTTTTGATTCTTAAAACCAATCCAAATCATCCAGCTCCCTCTCACATATAGTGGTCTCTTTATTTGTAAAGGGCAATGAAGAAGAGAAAGGTAGCATCTTTTTGATGGGATTACATACATACAAAAAAAAAAACAGTCTGAACTAGCCAGCTATCATGCATTCCTATCTGCTTAGAGCTCCAGTTTTCTGTCATATTTTCATGCTCATACACACACTCACACATTCATCTTTTTCATTTACTCTCTGAACCCGCATCTTCCTCAAGGGTTGGAGCTACAAGGCATCTGGTGAGAGGGGCCGTCTTGGAAGAAGGAGGTGTCCTGTGCTGACGATTTTCTGTTCAATCCATTAACGCGTCAGCTCATAGACTTGTTTCCATAAAGCATGGCTAAAATTTCAACCAAGTACAAAACCTGCTCTGAAGAACCTCATACATCAACCGCTTCAAAGGTTGGGAAAACTGTGTCTTCGTCTCCACCTGGTTTCTCCCTTCCCTCTTGCTCCTCTGCCTGCCCTCCTCCAGTCTCTTGTCTTTTTTCCAGTTCTGAGGCACACGGGCTTTCTTGGGACTGCGCTTGTCCCAGTGACTCCACTGACAAGCTTCGGCTGGACAGGATGCTACTTAGACTGGACTGGCGGGCGCCTCTCGGATGGGTTTCAATTTCCACATGAACCTCAATATTGGTTCCTTCCCTGTTACAAGAATTCACACAAACAATAAGACATTAGACAGCGATCAGTACAATCGAGTGGCATGTTAGAAAACCTAGAGCCAACACTTGCCTGGAAGTAAGCGCTTGTGAGTCGTCAGCCTTGCTTTCAGGCACAATAACCACCTCGCAGTCAGACTGACTGTCCTGCTGGGTGTTTCCATGGCGTTTTGTGGCTTCATCCAAACCAACATATCTATCTAGCTCCGGAGGCGTGGTGCTCGTACTAGGAAGGACGCCTACTTCCTGTACACTGACTCGGACTTCCTGGACGCTGGTTTCACTGAGCGTTGGGTTGTTCTGACCCGTCCAGTGATCACTGACTACATGAGAGAATAGAAGATCTATAAGAGAAGTTGAAACTTCATCAGATCAGGAATTTAGGGACGACCATGTACTGATGTGAAAAATCTCAGGGTTATGCGACACCCTTCACCAAAACTAGAGGGTGACTGAAAGCTCAACTCACAGCTGGCCAAGTCTTCCAGTTGGATTTTGTGTGTTTCAGGAGGTTCACTCTGTGGTCGACACCAGCCGTTCCTACAGAGCGACATAGGAACGACCCCATAGACATAAGTCAGCATTAGCGGCACACCCACACCTGGGAAGAAGAAAAGAAATGTAAATCATACATTTATCACAAGGACATTTTGTAAAAACATTATTTTTTCACACTTCTACTGGATACCAACGGTTGGTAGATGGTGTGAAAATTCACTTTTTCTTTTCAAATTTCTACTATCTTCTTATTGTGAAAGTGGACATTGACAAAACTGACAAACCATAAATTGAGGATTTTCAATGCATTGTACTGTTATCACTATGTAAACACAAGGGGGAGCCATTCATTTTTGGCTGTGTCCTGGATGCTGAAAAAGCCAGCCTAAGAATCTTCCTATCTTCCCTGCAGTGTTTACTCCAGAACAGTTTAAAAAAAACAAAGGATACAGAGCACATTTTAGCAAGATTTTTAAAAGAAAGTTTTGACAAAGAAAAAGACAGGTTACCCAGTCAAAACAAAATATCGAAAAAACGACTGTGGTGAACAACCACAACCAAACATACGATTTCTTTGTACAAGTTTTGATGACCTACCGCTCTTTTTTTATAGAGCTTTCACAACATTACTTTCAACAAACCCCCAAAATTATGTTCACCAGGCTCACTGTGCTTTGTGATTATACAACCTCGGACCGTGATTAGAATTTGGGAACACAAAGCAGAGTGCCAACCAAACAAAGGGACATCATTAACACAGCTAGAATACTGGGTCGCTATTGACTCAGCAACAGGGTGAAACCAGGGCAAGAGGATGAGCCAACCAACCAAACAATTCGCACAGTGAGAGGAGCAAACATGATAGACTCTGTGTGTGTGTGTGACTGTGCCTGTGTCCAACAAAAAAGAACAATGTATCTAACATATGGGGAGCAAAAAAAGCATGAGCTCAGGAGTTATAGCACAAAACCAAGGAACTATGCAGACAAACAAAGTCAACCAATGCCCAGAGACTGAAGCTGACAGGAAGGTACAGGCACATGTAGGAGGTGAGGTAGAAATGGAGGGTGTATGTGTGGCTATGACATTGCAGAGGAAGGCTGAGAGGCTTCTAAAGGGTAAAGATTTCTATCGGTTTTTAGTATTGCCAACTGAAAAAGGGGCATGAAAAAAGGCAAATTCTATTTGCCTCAACTGTAGGAAGTGTGTTTAAATAGAACATCTTTTAATTCAAATATTTATTTCCATCTATACTAATTTTGTCAGCATACATTTACTGAGTTACAAAGTGTTTGCACAATCAAGGCACCTTTTTCTGACCAATAGAAAAGCTCAGTCTCACTCTCTGTTGCACAAAAAGTGTGCAACCCGTTAGTATATCTTAGAAATGGTCAGAAACAAGAGCAAATTAATTTGACCGTCTAATTTTCTCATTATTAAAATTTGCATTCTATGTAATGTGCATCTCAATCTAAAAAAAAATACATATCTAAAGTTAGCATATTCAGTATTGCAGATTTCTTTTGTGCCCTTAACTGATTGAAAACACTTTGGAGATGTGATTTTGTTTGAAATGACATTTACACTCCAAGAGATTATGTGTGATGGTAAACCTAGGTCACTTTCCCCTTTAAGGATTCGCCTCTGTTTCCAGGACAGAACATATTACGTATTTGTTCCTTACCCACAGTGACAGCTGCTATGACCGGCGACACAAACACTGACATCATCACCCCACTTGCCACAGTCAAGTAGTGCTTACTTCCTGAGATATTGTTTTTCTTACAACGACCATGGACCTGGAATGTAATACATACAACACAATTGACATCGCGGAAATTTGAGCAACAATCTGTTGTTTTTGTCTTTTTAAAGATATATAAGACACAAGCTCTGACAAAAGATCTACCGACAGCTGCTGTTGTCACTGACCTTGCGGCCCATGTAGATTGGTATACCCACAATGATGACTGGGATGGCAATGCCCGCTATCAGGGAGATGACCACAGGTGCTCCAAGCAACATGCCCACCTGCCACAGTACCTTGCGGGTTTGGGACCATGGCTTCTTCCCCCAAAATGTACATCCCGAGGGACTGAGATACACATCAGGTCCAACAGGTGAAAGCAGTTAAGAATTCAGGGGAAAAATGATTGAAACGTGTTATAAATAGTTTTTTAATTCACTGTTCTGGTTTGATGACTCAATACACACAAACAGATAAAAGCTTCCATCAACACCTACAGTACATGTTATTTTCCTGAGACATGATGCACACAACCAATTTGAGTACACTCACAAAAACACACGTTTCACTAATAATCATTTGCTGCATCGCGGTGGCATCATCATAATCATTTTGGTCATGACCTACCTTCTCTGATGCAAACATGAGACATTTCTGGACAAATCATTTTTCAAAAACAACTGGGATAAATGAAAACTGGTGACAGCATGACTACATTGTCATCAGTTCAGTATTCACGCTGAATTATCTAATTTTATTAACCAGTTCTGGTGTCTCCCCATATTGATAACATTTGCAGTCGATATCTATAGAATTTTTTATTAAACATTTTCAAAGTTCTTTTTTTTTGTGAGGAATCATCACTACTATGTTTCCTAAAGTGTCACTAAAAGTTTGTATCCACCTCTGGTGTTGAAGTTGAACAACCAAGGAGGAAATCTAACTGACTATCAGACCTTAATAAAGGAATAATTAACTTGTAGTAGCAGGAGTAACAACATCAAGATCGCAAACAGCCCCTCAGGGCTATGCCGATTCTCAGATCATGCAATCGTGTTGCAAGTGTCACTTTGGGACCATGAACATGTAAGGGGTGGGAATTAGGGCGAGGTATTATGATCCTGTTGTTTTGCCACGAAAGACAAAAGTGAGGAGGAAGGCGAGGGAGTTAAGGAAGTTAATACTGCTTGCAAAATGATAAACAAATAACACTTTTTCTCAGGTGACATTTTTAACTAATAGTCTCCTGGGAAAATTATCCTCATGTTTTTTTGTACATCTTACTGCAGCTCTCTGTCTAGTGTTTGTATGTAATAATCATACAATACCTGAGGTAGTGCACATCGGTGATCTCCTGCATACAAAGCCAGCAGAACTGACAGGCACATACAGTGCAGTTCATCCGGTTACAGCTGCCATCATTGGTCTTCATGATGTAGGCACCACAGCGAGGACATGCTTTGATCTCCTCTGCATCTGCAACATAATAAATATAGAAATAGGACTGTTTTTTTTTAAAGCATCAAAAATCTTCAACTAATAGTTTGATATTAGACATATTTACATGCTGGAATCTGTCATGACTCAACTTCCCTGTGCTATACCCACTCATGCATAGATCACATTCTGACCACACAGCACCCACAGAAGAGGAAACAGCAGAAGATATCTTCAAGTTTTTACCTCCTCCAGGTTCTTCATTGAAGACGTACAACGTGGAGGCATCATTCCCACCTGAGGTGTGGCGAGCCCGCTGGCGCCGTGCTTGGTCGCACGTCTGGTTAGGGTGCCACAGCTGCCGACAGTGGTAGCAGAACTCTGTGTCACAGCCCTCACGACCACAGCTCAGTTTGGGACACTCCGCACAGCCGTAAGCTATCACCGCATAACTGAGGAGAGAAAACATAGGAGCCCCACCAACCCCTTACTGTCAACACGTGTTGATTTTTGGCAAAAAAGCTTTGCAACGTTATTCATCCATTTATCAAATTTTGCTCTCTCACCAGATATTAATATAAATGTTAAGGTCATCTGAATTAGTGATTAATGATCAAATTGAAGTTTAGGTGAGGCATCCATTTTGTAGTTTAACTCAAAGAGGCTAAGGGCCAAACACACAAATGGAAAGAAAATACTGACCAGACCTTTGGAGAAAGTCTGACTCTAAAATGAAAAAGGCTGGTCAATTATATTTACTATAGATTATCACAACTCTCCCCTCATACTTTGCTGTACATAGATGTTGAAATGTGTATTATATTTTTAAAACAGCCACTGACAGCCTTCAAATCAGTCAAATGTCCACATGACAGAAATCGAAAAAATTCAGTAATCCCCTACAGTAAAATCCAGCTTTAACCATATTAGCACAACCATACATTTTTGTAAAATGCTAAGAGACCAAGTATAATGAGGTTGAAGAAGCAGTTTGAAACATCTGAGAAATAATCATTTCATTTTTTTACTAAAAATATTATACAGGATCCCATTTAGACTTCTTACATTGGATCTCCTTTGGCTACTGGAGGAAAAAAGGAGTTTGAGTTGGCAAAGGCTTAGCCAAAGATACATTTAGCCAAGTCATTGTAAGTGATGAGTACAGACAGAATTAGGAGTGAGCACATCAGACATGCAGCTCAGGCTTTACAGTTTGACAAGTACGAGAGGCAACATGTATTTGGTTTGGAAATTAACAGAGGAGAGGGCTACGCTTTTGACAGAGGGATTCCAAGGAGGGAGAAGAATTTAAAAACTGTTCTTGCCATTCATTCATGTCTCTGCAGAAGAGTGTCATTCGGCATCACAAATGCCCCAAAACATGAAGGCAAAATGAGCACGTATAAATATAAATCTGCATGAACACACACAGTCCAAATGCACACTTTTTCTCACACTTTCTTAGAGTCAAGATAATCTCCAGCTAAGCTTCTGTTGCTAAGACTTCTTGGAATGTCAGTTGGAAACAAAAACTGGAATAACTGTGAATGGCCAGTTTCCCCAATAAATCAAGAATTCAGCTCTTTATCAATACACTTTTCGTGATTTCCAGAAATGCTTCCAGCCCCCAGTTTGATTTATTCCATGATATATGTAACTCAAAATCGGATGTTTTTTAAATAGAATGATATATCTTGTTTCTTTGTATTTAATCCATCACTGTATCAGACATATTGGATTATTGATTTTCTCCATTCGTTCATCAGGAGCAGGCTGTGAGCTCTGACAGTCCAGGAGACAGTCTTTAATGACGCCCAGCATCCTGATACCTATGTTAGTTTCTTCACAAACATGCATGCGCAGAAATCGTACACACCCATTAGGTTTTCCCATCAGTGGCCCTATCTTGTTACCCATCCATGAACATTAGGGTTATGCGGTAATGGATCAGTGTCATTGCGTGTTGCTAAAACAGCAGCTGTAAAGACAAGCGTTAAATCAGAACAGCTTGCACTCTGGTCATTGGGGACTGCTGCCAATGAGAAAAAAACATATCTCTAACTCTGCAACAAAGGATTTCTGGATGATTTATGATGATTTACAAAAATCAATGATACAATGAAATCATGTTGTAGCTGAGGTAAAAAAATCTCATCATATCAAATGTAATCCCTATTTGAAATGGCTATTCTTAGGAAAGACACAGAAAGGCTAAAATGGCCCTAGAAAAGCCAGCCACATAACCAGTGACGATTTTACCTATAAAAAGATGAATGCTTTCCATTGGCCCCAGTGAACCTCATTTCAGGCATTACTGGTCACTTTAGTCTATAGGGTGCCAACAGACACCCATCAATCCATCTGAAGCTCCCCAGCGTTTCCCTGTTTCAGACCCATAAAGACCATAAAAAGACCCATATTCACTTAGACCATAAGCTGACCAACATGCTTTCCACTTTACACAATGACAAGGAATGGCCAGTGTGGCATTTGTTTAATTAACGTAGCGAATAAACTTCTCCAACTAGACTGAGGTCCACTGGAACCATGTAGGGCATAAAAAGAAGTGGCCCGCCTCTATTACATAAGACACTTTTTGATACTGATGATGCTCAGGCCATGGCAAGTAAAAACCATGTGATCTGTTTAAATGGGAGCTACAATGGCCAACAGCTTGTGTTGATAACATGCTGAGTTTAGTCTGAAAACGTACAGTTGGCACTGTGCATGGAGGATTGATTATTTTTTCCAAGCTAGTCTGTTCTGTTCCAGGATCTGCATATTAAATTGATTACATAAAGCTTTTAACCGCATCAAACTCAGTGATGCATGTAAAAAAAAAAAAGAATGACTAAACTTTCAAACGCTGCCAGCTCCTCTTTTAATGACAATTCAATCATGCTGCCAGTGGTGTCTTTTGTTTTGACCACACTATGTCAGTGGTGGGATGACGGTAAAATGATTAAATAAATGCTTGCGAAACTTATATGTTTTCTTGTGTAATTATACAGCAAGACAACATAAATGAATAATTGTTGATATGCTCCAGGGTATGAGGGGGCAAAGGCCCAGTTCTCACCTGCAGTCAGGTGCAGGGCACCAGCGAGTATCTGGATCAGCAGCCAGAAAACGCCGCAACTGATACTCCTCAAACCTCTCCAGAAGTGCCTGGTCATCCAGTATTGCGTGAACATCCAGTGGTGCCAGTGTCTCGGGGCACTGAGGGCACGCAATGCCAACTCTGCTCTCTGAGATCTCAATGCGCAGGTACTGGCGTAGGCAGTCCGTGCACGCCCTGTGGGAGCAGGAGGACAGCCGAGGGAAATGGCAACGTGGCTGACTTAGCAGGCACAGTGGGCACTCTTCCAGGTGTTCTTCCAATAGCTGATCCTGGCTGGACGGGGAGAGAGACAGGACTCCGGTGGAGCCGCAGCTGACCCCGCCCACGCACTCTCCCGTGGCAGCACTGTTCTCGCCCACCTCGGCTGCTGCTGGCAGCCCTCCTCCTTCTCCTCTTTCTGCACCAGAAACTCCTGATTCTCCAGCATCTTCTGCAGCCAGGCTGCGATCCTGAGAATAGTTACAGAGCATGTGTATTCACCAAAAACGAGCAGGTAAATCTAAATGCTGCGGCTAGACTGAAAAAACTGACATGTGAAATAAACATCATTGTTCATAATGATCTACAGCTTGTGTTTGTAATCCTTCTGTTTTCATTCTCTAACTCAGCATTCAAAGGCAGAATTACTCATACAGTATGTATTCAAAGACATGATATACTGTAGCAGAAGTATGAGTCTCACCTGATCTGGATGCTCGCTCGGGGTCAGGGTTATAGCCACTTCCTCCTTGGGCCAGGCTTCCACAGATCTCTCGGGCTTTGGCTCTGATTTGGGCTTGCGACTGAAGAAGTTTAGGAAGCTCAGGGGCCCTGTCTGCTGCTTGGGCCTCTTCATTGTCTAAAACTAGAGTGGTAGCAGCAGCTGAGGGGGGCAGGCCAACGATCATGAGCAGGATGCAGAAGCTTGAGTGGTGTGTGTTTGGCTCTGTATATGTGTGTGCGTTGGGCGGTGTGAGCTCGGTCACGGCTCTCACGGCTCAGAGTCTTGGAGCTGTTTGGTTTTGCGACGGGGGAAGAGTGGGAGTGATGGAGAGGGAAGTGATGAAGAGGAGGTAATCCCTGCCTGAAGGGAACATCGCTAATTTGGTGCCTTTCTGAGCTCTGATCATGTGATTTACTTTGTCACTTTCCCGTCTTTAGTTTCCCTCATCAGCTTCCTCCTCCACTGCAGTTCACACAGAGTAAAGTTTGTCCTTAACTTGTGAACAGCCCATCATCCTTTTTGGTCTTCATCCCACCGTCAGTAGTTCTTTATCCTGGAAATATAAACATATTATGAATTAAGTTTTAATCAAAGTTTAATTCAAGTTTAGATAAAGTCTAGATTGTCAACTTTGGTGTTATGTCTATCAAATTTTAGTATATAATTATGATTTAATAATGGTTTAAAAAATAAATAAAAAGTCATAAAAACTGATTACCTATGTCATATATATCACTATATCAGCATTAAAAACCAATATACGAGACAAAGAAAATAAAGAGATGAGAAACCCTAACGAAGTGAACTGAGAAGTTTTATTATGTTCTCTAAATTTATTTTGCAACCATGAAGAAACATTGTGATTTTATAAAATTACACTTTGATTTGCATGACAGCTTAACATATGTATACGTATTTAGGAGGTAGTGGCTCCTAATTTCTGTACCTTCCTCTGTACATAAAATTATCTAAAACTTCAGCAAAAAGACCACAACCATGAGTCACATTAAGCAGATGGATGACAGAATTGTGACAGGTATACAGAAAGGATTGAGGGAGATGGAGAGTGAGGGAGAGAAAGATGAGGCTGTAAAAAGAGCACAGACAGCTCATTCTGCCTCCATTAGGCAGCAGCAGGCTTTCATAAACAGGCCCAGAGAGTATGAGGTGATTCACAAAACCCAAGACCAATTAAAATAGCTGTTGTCATGGCGCCATGTCAGCTCGGACAAAAGAGTCTGTCACAAAATATGAGATAATTAAAGATTATAGTTAAAGTCTACATCATCACGCCTCTGTAATTATACAAAAAGTAAGAAACTTACAAAATACTGGGACAGAAAGCAGGAGACAGGGTTCGTTAGCTCCATTTGAAAAATAAAATAAAAAAATCTGCATTTATGCAACACTGCAATGCCTAACCTGCCACCTCATCTAAGATTGAGAGTTTGAGCACTATTTTTACTGCAGTCTTGTGGAAACAGAAAATGGGCAAGGATAGTGAGTCCTTCATGGTGCAGCACATCATTATATATGGTAATTTAAGGGTAAAGAAAAGACATTCTTGGTCTCTTAAAGCTGGCACAATAAACTGATACTTAGTGTTGATATTTGAGATGTTTTGTCCTCCATGGCAGCGCTGCTTGAAATGGTGTTTCCCTGTATTTAACTATGATGCCGTCGGACCAATTCACAACGCCAAAACAGTTCATGTATGCGAAAGCACAGCGTGCATGAGAAACATTTACTCTGGTTCTTAAGGGACTTAATAGATCAAGTCAGAACGTCTGCCATAAATGATGACAGTGTTTACATTTACAATTATGCATTTCAAGGATACAAGATCATTAAATATCAAGTACACTGTAGAGGGCAATTTACCATAAACAATTATAAGGTCAAGAGTCTGCAGAGAGAGTGCAGGTCCGGTGTATTTGTTGAATGTTTGAATCACAGCAGAAAAAGCTGCATCTGCATCAGAGTAGATTGCATTAAGGTGCTTACATCTGTCACACTGGACATCCGGTCGTATTTGCCGGACTCATTACTTGCCCATTTACTGCCTCTACTGCAGACACACACCTCTTTAGTAGCTGTAACTGTTGGCTGTTGATAAATGTGCCAGTGAGTCTTATTGGTCCACACAATTGTTTCAGCCCAGCCAGATAAGATATTTAAACATCAGGTGAGACAGATTGAGCTATTTTGAAAAGCCCCTCTGATAAGTCTTTACTTTCCCAATATTTAGCATGTAAAAACCTTTCTTTAGTGGGAAGCCTAACTGCAAACTTCATATAAACATCTGTAGACATTTTTTTAAAAGCAGCCATGGCATTGTTAAGTTAGTTCAAGTACAAAACAAGCAGCATTATTAAACGTAGCTTTCTTGTCTGCAGTTCCATCTAACTGTTCCGTTTCTAAATATATCACAGTTGTGCATCCAGTTATACTTCCTGAGCATCCTTATTTTGAGGATTCTGACCTTAAGTGAAATAAATGCAATATGCAGGAAATTTATAGGAACAGTTTTCCACTAATAAAGACATCATAACAACAATATACAGTGCTCCAAAGGCATTCGTTTTGCATTCCATTAAAGTCCTGTCTCCACACTAGTGTGTGCACGCTGGTTTATTTACACTTTCACATATGCACATTCAAATAAACACACTCAAACACACACAGACAAAGAGCGTGTAGGAAAAAACAACACAGACCGAGTTTGGCTCTGTGCACTCAAAGATATAATGAGGGAATTGGACAACGTAATCCATTGATAAGTTGCCATTATGAGGGACCGAAAGAGGATAACAAGATCAGCAGGCAGTGACTTGGTGCATTCAACTCAAATTGTGACTGTACAAAACATGTTAAAAAGTTGAAAATGCAAAAGTTATCCTTTTGAAGCCTTCATGAATCTTTTCAACAACGTGCATAAAAGCAAAGGCCACAGCTGTGCCAAATGCTTCTGGGTACCTGAGAGCACTTAAGCTTTTTTTCTCCTCTATCTCTTTGTCCATTTTCTTTTACTTCAGCTCCTACTGAAGTCCTGCTTACTGACCTGTGTAAGTCATCCTTGAATTGGTAACAATCATCATGATCTTGAATCAAGCCGTCTATCAAAAGCACAAATGTTACCCTGACATGCTTTATCCACTTAAGTCGGCACATACAGTTTCATTTAGTCATATAGATACAGAGATGCAAGGGCAGAGAAAGCTGGTGGACTATAAGCTTTTTGTTTGGCCACAGTGAATGCTGCTCAGGCCAGTAAAAACATCAGTCAGAATGTTTGGAGAGTTCGATTCAGCGTCGCTGTCCCACTGAGAGGACTGACGTCACACGGACTGCAAGCAGTTTGGAGTGCAGTTTGTGAATAAAGATGATATATCATCAGGGAAATATGAATAAAACATTACATAAAATGCTGCGATATCCAGAACAAAATGCCACTACAGCAAGCCACAAGGTTACCAGGGACATTCATTTTTATTCCACTCTCCAAAAACCCTGGTATCATTTGCTCTGTGATTTTACTTTTAATTCCCTGCTGTATATTCTGCAGGACAATATTTGATGATCATCAAGTAAGTGAAATACAACCTCTCTAAAAATATAGTTAAAGATAAGGCAGTGCAAAGGAAAGCAGAGTCCTTCTGTCTTTGATATCCACAGTTTACTGATCAGTGCTTTTCCTTTATCTTGTTAGCCTATCTCAGGAATGTCAGTGCGTTGTGAGGACCTGAATAATTACACAAGCCCACTTTACGCCCAAAATGAAGCATCTGCACCACATGTTAATCATTTATCTGGAGATGAAAACATGTTTGCTTTTGTAGATTAGTGGAAAGAACCACGAGTCATAAATCGTACTACAGAATTTGCCACTTGTATTACGGCTTAATGCTAATATTCCATCGTAAATTCAACCAATGGATAACGGCTTACCATTGATTTATCCTATTTCCCTTCCCTTTCTCAAGAGAACCCTTTCATTGAGTGAGTTTTACGAGAATACAAAGTCCTAAGGTGGATTTGGAGATTACAAACAGTGAAAGACCCAACTCTGTTCATCCAAGTGGATTTTCTAACCTAAATATCAGATTTAATGACCCCAATGAACGTTTACAAATCTGTAATTAATAAGCCATAACATAATGTTTATGTTAAGGCTAACCTCGTGTTACATGTTTGCAAAATGTGATATCCTTTTCAGAGAGGGGCCCAAAACTCTGGAGAGAGAGAATACCCAAAATGTTGAAGCAAGTCTATCAATTAAAATAATCTAGAAAAATACAGATGACTACGATTATGAAATACAAATCCTGACAAATTCTCCTTTATCTTTCTTTTGTTTTATATCATACAAACCACTGAATCATGACAGATACATATTCATCCCATTTCCTCTTTCCCACTGAAATTCTTACATGAATTTATTCAACTTAAAATTTTCACATCACTGAATTTTCTGAGTCAGTTTAAATATGTTTACAATGTCTTAACAGTATGTTGGCAAACAGAACAAGGACCTTTGTTCCAAAACTCATCTTAACCATTTAGTTTCCAACAGTAAGATCCTCACGTCCTCATCACTTCTTTTTCAAGCGAGCGTAGAGAGTGATATCGAACTGACTCACATTACATCTACTATCAATTACAGCAGAGCAACAATAAAAAGTGGAGAAAAAAACATCAGATGCATGGTCTAGTTGTAACTCGCAGCTGCCAAGCCTAATTTTTAATTTATTTCAAACAGCCTGTAGAAAACTGATCTGCCAGTGAGCAGTATTGCCAGACATCATTACGCAACTTACAAGGACATCAGCTTGTTTTCTAACTGTACCTTATGAGATGATTGAGCATGTTGATTCACATCACTTTTAATTACTAAAAGCAGGCAAAGCTCTGCCAGCTTTTAACTGAAAGCAAAAAACAGACAACGACTGAGTGAGATTTAAAGAGGGATTGAGTCTAAGCATGACGGTCATCAGGTCTCTTTGCCTGAGAACATCCTGCATGATTTCAATTACTTCAGAAGGCATTTTTTCTACAAAAAAGGCCCAAGAAATTCATCCTGTTGGTCCTAGTGGAAGATAGTTTGATAAATCTTCAGTATTAATAAAGTATACTTTGTATGGGATAATCGACATGTCAAGACCACAAATAAAATCATATCTACTTAATATTTGGGTGTAGGAATAAAATTCAAACACACAACAGACTTTGTTCTGGGCCACCCATCCGGCTGACATGTCTCATTCAGCGAGCAGTCCAGTTCATTTGCAGGGTGTTGTTATGTCACAGCACCAGAACAATCCAGCCTCTCCACCTTCATTCAACTTCACTTTTTAATCATGCTGCATTAGCTGTACGTCAGAAGTATTAAACTAAAACTTTTTAAAATGTTGCTCTTTCTTTTAGACTTAACTGTAAAATTTAATCAGCAGTTATATGGCTACAGTAACAAAAACATTATTAATATAATGTTTTAACCAGTGTGATGTGTGAAAATAAGTGATGAAAAAGCTGCATATCTGATGTCAGCCAGTATGTGAAAACATGGTTAACAAATAAGCATGTCTCATAAATGTTTCTATTCTTTGTGAAGAAAATATTATAATCTGTCTCTCTTTATATTCTCAACTAGTTTTCTTACAAGTCTGGCATCAAGGCAACTGAACAGAGAACCACTTAGCTGCAGAAGCTAGGCAAATCTTTCAAACAGAACACAAGAGCATATTCAATTCCACACTTTTGTTCATTCAGAGAAAAGAAAAAAGAAAGCAATCGCGAGTTCTTCAGCACTAAAAAAGACCTGGACATCCACAGGCGTCACAACAACCTGCCAAGTGGAGAACACTCTGCAGGAGGTAGACGTATTATTATCCAAGTCTCCCATGCAGAGAACACTTCACAAGAGAAATACAGTTGGCTCTCCAGAAGTCGTAAATCAATCACAAACTGCAAAACGAGGAGGATCAGTCAACTTTGCTAAATGAAAATGCATCTTAAGAAGTCGAAAAAGTTGTGGAGCTAATTCTTTTGAACGGACAAAACTTCACTGAACGACACATGAAAAATTGTGGAGAATGCTTGGGATGTCTTTGGATATCAAGAATATAACATCTGCTCTAAACCTAGAGGAGGAAGAAGCATGATGGCAATCATGCAATCATGATTGTGCAATCACGGGCAGCAGCTGGCTGTGACACTAAGGACAGAGAAAGCTTCACATCTATGACAAAGACTTTACGACATTAAAGGATTTTCCACACCTAACTGAATGTATGTCAGCCAGACAAGTGAATAGAAAAATATGGTTAGCAAATACCAGCACTAGTTTTCTTTTGCAAACTTATAAGAATTGATGGAAGGTGTGTAGTCACTATACTTATTAATATTTGGTGAAAATACAGTGCATTCAAGTGCATATGTTATTGAAAGCTATTCACAGCTCTGAATGAACAAATGCCAGGGTGAAAGATGAAGGATGATTAAATGACAGATGGGATTATTACACAAGCTCTGCCCTGAAGCTTTTTTCTCATCTTTGAAAAACCAAACACAGAAGAAACGGGACATCTTCTCCCTTTTCTCCTTTACCCCTCTTATTTTCTTTCCAGACACCTGTTAACAAGCTGTTGCTTTACATTCAGAGGGTCAGTTTCCATCTAAAGTTCTGCCTCACTGGAAGGAAACCTGATGATACATCCTCTTAAATAATATGCGCTCCCTGGACAGATGCCCACATCAGCAATGCGGTTATCAGAGGTATGAAAGTGACCTCAGCCCACACATGCACTCAGACGAACGCACACACACACTCGTGTTGTCAGCGGCACCCTAGACCCTTACAATCACAATTTCTGTACCATACTGTTCCAGCCGGAGCCTTAGTGACGTCTGAAAGCCTATAGTCTGCTTTACGGTGCCCTATTGAATAACCAGTACAGAGGATTAGATGTAAGAGGACATCACAGAAGCCGTTGTGGATGCAGAATTTCATAACAGCGCTCTGGTCCTTTAAAAGCCCATCATCACAGACAAAATGCAATATTATTCTTCAATGACTATAAGCCACAGGCCTCTATAAGCAAGATTCTGGGAATCGGGAAATGAACTGAGTTATGATGGCGGACAATTAAGTCAGTTCCTGTGTATTTAGGGCAGTTATTTTAAAGTTACATCCAGGTTTTCACGCATTATATCAATCATTTAAATAGGGGTTTGTCCAGGGCATCAGTGTGCTATTGCAGGGAGTGGCATGTTTAATAGGCTACGTAGTCGCATTCACCTCTGCCTCCACGTATCCCAAATGGACACGAGCAAAATATTGAAAAAAAAAAAAAATTTCAACCACAACCACAATCTGAAAGTCGGCCCAAGCAGCCGATAAAAACGCAGAATAATGTCCATTGCGTAAACGTTACCTTACCTCCCAGTGCGGCGCCGTGTCTCTTTGCAGCGTACGATCGCCAACTGGCTCCTCCCCCAGAGGACCAAACGGTAGCCCAGAAATCTCCTCCTCTCTGCTGCCGCACAGAAAACAGAGCGGGCTGACAAAGATGCAGAGGGGGGGGCGGGCACGATGGCCAGAAGCGACCCGGGTCGGGAGCGCGGTGCTTGGGGAGGGAGAGCCTTCAGGCCGGACGGCGGAGCTGCTGGGCGGCCGGAGGGAGGCACTGCAGTCCCAGCGACCAGCCGAGTGACGCACAACCCCAGGATCCCCCAGTCATTCGCACACGTTTTCAAATCTTCACCTGAAAACAGCTTTAAAATGTCCCATTCAATCAATGACTGGGTTTTTTCCCCTCCTAAATCATCCTCACACAAGGAAGGATCATTCACAGAGAGGAATGCGAGCCTCTGCTGACTGATAGGGTTCCCAAAATCAACTCATGAGTCAATGCACTTGTACTCTCTGTATTATTAGTCAATACTGTGGAAAAAAGTATGAACCCAAATTTCAAACTAAACATCCTTGAACGATTTGGTCAAACCCATTTCAACCAATCTGGCTTGGGTTTGGCTTGAATAATTGCCAGTCTTACCATGGTGATGGTAATGTCTTACCATCTTACCTCCAGCAGCTATCAGACACCTCCTTTTTTAAAAGGCTCAAAGCTACCTCCATCAGTGCTGGCTTCTTTGCTGCAACTAATCTTCAAAGGCCTAACTCATGTAACCCAGTTGTACACAAGTTTCTACTGCTTGAATCTTGTGAAGCATTTCATTTTCAAATCAGGTGTGCTGTTAATTGATAAATCAATTCAATGGATGAGGATCTTACTCTTTTAGAAAAATCTAACAGCTCTCAGTAAACCAATCTAAATCAGGATCTGTCTGACCCTGAAGACACGTGTGGAGATCATGCAACTCCCTGACAAGGGACACTTGGGAACCCAAAAAAATGGTTCTAATGATCCCCTCGTGAGCCTGGATGAGAGGACTGCTAAAGTATTTGAAGATTTTAATCAAAGCAGAGATGACAATAAGATCTTATTCAACTACTCAGATGCATAGTTCCATGAGTGTTATGCTACAGTTTGATGCCCTCTTAAACTCAAGTAAATATTGGAGCACAGAGTTCAAACTGTCTCTCTGTGAATTCTGAACGTTTTTGCCATATAAATATGCAACACAGCTGCACCTAGATTAGATAATTTCTTTTAAATGTTCACGTGGTCAGCTAAGATAATATAAGATGAACTACATTATTATTCTGTAAAATACAGCAACCGGAAATTATCTTCAGGATCCTAAACCTATGAGAAAGTGTTTACAATGTGGTCAAATTTAACCCCAACAGAAACTAGATAACTTCCGGGATTAGTTTCCGGCCTTCAGATCAAAAGCACAGAGCTTGATGGCATTAAAACATGTTTTTAAGTAAGCCTAATAGCAATGAAAGATAAACTTAGATCTACAGAGAGAAAAACAAGACCATACGTACCATCTATTTAATTTGAATTATATAATAATATATAATATTTTCAAATAGTTGTGGTCAAGTGAAGAACAGCATTTTGCTTTAAAGCCAAAACTATTTAACTTTTCATGTAATGTGAAGTGAAACAAGCAGAACAAGTTTAAATGAAAACATGGGACGCGAGGCGAATTGACTCAATTTATATTGACTTATTTTCTTAACTCTGGTTGACAAGGACACCACACAGTTATCATATCGGACATTTTATAAGCAGGAATGTCAGTTAAATGTTCCCTGACGTTGTATTAACAACGATTAAACAAAGTTGAAAGCTTTGGTTGCCCAGAGTTTCAAAAGCGTTTCAAAAGACATAACATGGGTGGTGAATTCACATTTTAGGTCAAGTTGCCGAGAGGCAAGGCGTTATTCTGAAACAGTGAAACCGGAAGCTATGCTATTTTGTTTCTGCAGGATCTCAGACGAATCAGAAAATCAATTAAGTTATGAAAAATACCATTAATTGCCTTTCTTTGTCACTGGAACCCATGAAGAAATGGCGGCTCTCCAAACGCCGGACGTTTGAGGAAATATATTGTCCACCTAATGGAGTGTTTATCGACGTGAAAAAACACCTCAGCCGACCTGAATATTTACGTTTGATAGGTAAGTTAGCTTGGTAGCTAACCAGTGAAGTTGACATTAGCCATTTGGCTAATTAGCTGCACGGTAATTTGCTTTCTATGGGTAACGTCCACTGGAGAAGGTACGTGTCAGTAATTACGTGCTGATGAGGACGTTTTCTGATTAGCTACCCGTGGGGTTACGAGCCTGCAGTTTCTGAAAATGCCAATGACAATTTCAGCACTGTTATGCGACTGCATGTGAGGGTATTTCAGCTTCAGTTACCAGTCTAATAGCACGGTTTGTCCATGTATTGACACATACAAAAGCTAGCGTGTTAGCCTGTGTGCAAAAGGAAGCCTAATAGCTTTTGTCTGGTGAACACGCACCGCCTCAAATCACGTGTTTGTTTTCCAGTAGTTGTCATGTTTTTGACCTGATCACTATATGTCTGTATAAACTCACAATGTTTATATCACTGTTGTTTCCCCCGCTTACCATTATTATTATTTCTTTTAAAAAGATGGAGAGTGGAGCTATGTTTATTTTATGTGCATGCATGTTATCCCTCAAATATTTTGACATATTTCTTGCCACTTTACAATACTTTCTTTTTTTTACTTTAAAACAGTGAAAGTGAAATGATTATGGGTTTGAAATACACTCTGTCAACCTGCATGTGAGTATTAGTAGTATTTTCACATTATTCAGTTACTTTGTCCAGAGTGGGCATAAATAAAGAAGAAAATAATCAACATAGAAATTATTTTAAATATAATTTGGAGTTGCATTTTCTGCAGAAGTGGTGTTCAATGCAGTAATTATTTTACACAGTTGGTAAATTTAGTCCTTTATTTCTCCCAAAAAGATGAAAATGAGCTGATGGTTGTGGAATTCTGCGAGGGGACGTTGGAAAAAGGAGAGAGGCCTTCTGGAAGATGCCAAGGAAGAAACAACAGAATCCACAGCCAGTCAAGTGTAGGTACTGAGAGACTGTTTAGCGTTGAACAGTTGACACGCATCTTAACCACATTTCTTACAACTCATCTTGCGGATTTATTGCTGCGCCACATGAAGTCACACTTAATGTCTGCCGGTGCCATTCTGGCTGTTTGGTACATGTGTCCCCTTTCTAAGCTCACATCTGGACTCCAGCTGTCACTGGTGTTATAACACTGGGAAAGCAGCTGAAATGTTTTACATGAATAATTAGGACCAGTAGCACAAACTGGTAACATCGTGAATTTGATTGTAAACCGGAGGTTCTCACGATTAACCTCAGGTTTATGACTGTGTATATACATTTTACCATCATCTAATGAAAAAATAGACGTTCTATTAGTTTGCTGCTGGAGATACCGACAGAATAAAACTGTGCCATGGTCAATTTACCAGTACGTGGTAGTATAATGCTACCTAAATGGCCTGTCATGTGGCATGTCCTTGAACAAGCCTGAAGGTTTTTCAGAAAATTAACAGCTGGGTAGTGTTTTTTGGATGCCATCAAGCTTTTTAAAAAGTGACAATTTCAGGCATCATTAGCTGTAATTTCAGTGAATAACCCCATCTGTCAGCTGTTAGAGGCTCACAAAATGTTGCTGTGTGGGAAATTGAAGTTAATGCCACTGACAATTTCAGAGCCACTTCTAAATAAGCAGCATGTTTAAGTCCTCTGAAGTCTAAATCCTCTAAAGCATTATCAGACAAAAAAGTTGATTAGTTGTTTCTTTAGTAGTGCTCTTTTAAAAAGAGGTTCAGTATGTTACCTGCTGATATTGTAAAGTGATTGTAACTAAACATTTGGGAAGGTCCTTAAATGTTTGACTGTCTTTTGACTACAGTGAATTCTGAAGATGGTGTAGCAATTGAAGCTCCAGGAAACCTCCCTCTAGACACCGACTTCCTTCTAGGACAGGACCTTCAGCTTGGTGATCCTGATCATGACAAGATTCTAAGCCTGGAAAAGTTCTCAGGTTTGTCGTGAAAACTGGCAAAGGCCATAATCCGTACTATTTTAGTCCTGTTTTTAATGTAGCGCAAACCTGGCAGCACATTAGGATTCTGATGAGATACTTGACTGAGCTGGAGATGTAACGGAGAGAAAAGGGGAGTTTACGAAGATAAAGCTCCTCTCCTGGCTTTGAATAAAGTCCTAAAACGTCAAGCTGTAGGACTTTTCTGGTGAAATGAATCTCCCCATGTCGTAGAGTGGTTTAGATATGTGGGGAACAGATGAATGTGCAAACCAGTGCTCTTTCTACCCCTGCTCTTTGATCCAGCCTCATATTTGAATCTGCTTGAAACAAATGTCCTCTGCTAAATTCTGCAAGTGGTCAGAAAACAAATTTGATCCTTTAGGTCCACTGAAAGCCAGTTCAGATCTTTTTTCAGATTTTTTGGGGGAAACTTAGCTCTGAGTAGTTGTCACCGCCTTTCGGCTTTTCCCATCAGAGGTCACCACAGCGCATTGACCTTGACTCAAAAGGAAGGTTTGGAAGGAGTCTTAACCCAAAAGCCCCTCTTTACACAACCCTCGCATTTAACTGGAGTTGGGACAGGAGAGGACAAAGAACACCACTCCCTATGTTAAGCTGCATTTCAGCCAACTGGGGGTTCAGTGTCCTGCCCAAAGAGACGTCCACATGTAGCTGAGCACGTGAACTACCGACTCGCCCACCAGAAGGCAGCCATTCTTACCTCTGAGCCACCCCTACCCCTAAAGCCAGCTCTGAGCAGTTGGTGACTACAGATCGGCTCCGTCCTTACATACAGTCTGCTATGGGCAAGCTGAATTGAATAAGCACGTGAATTTGCTAAGAACAAGATTTAGATTTTAACAAGGAAACTTGTTCAATAGAATAAATGTTGGTTGCCTGTGAGGCAATGACCCCAGTGCTCCACCACTGCACTAACAGTTCTCTTACTGTTTTGAAACATTTTCCTTTCGATAAGATCTTAGCTAATTGCAGATCAAATGTGCATAGTGTAGACCGAACAATAAGATCACAGGCCTTGGTCCCTTTAACATACTGCATGCATTGAACCATATGGTTTTTACTCTCAGCAGCAATATCTCTTTCTCCCCCCCTCGATTTTTCACTTTTTACCAAAGTGCGGGTTTTTGTGGTCTGCCTGTGGTGACTAGCAGCCCATCTGTGCTGCAGTCAGAGAAATTGAAGAAGCGGGGCTCTTTGTGATCTAAAAAATGGAGGAGAAGAAAAAGAAACTGAGACACCAATGTTATATAAGGGTCATAAAAATAGGACCATTACCATCAAGGACACCATTATAAGAAGGCTTTTATTCATCATCATCATCATCATCATCATCATCATCATCATCATCATCATCATCATCATC